GAGGAAGTACAAAGGGACTAAACAGGGAGAGGACAGAGGCGATGACAAATGGGAGGTGGGTGAGCAGGAATCGGGCTGTATTTTGTTTGCATCACTATGTTATCAACCGCACTCCCCAGATCCTCAGTTTCTCCAAGGGTAAAATGGTTACAATAATCATTGTGATTGTCCTAGAGCGGGGGACAGCAGGTGAGGTGCTGGGAGGAGTCAAGGAAGGGGAAGCTGCACTCAGATGTATTGTATGAGAGAGGAACAAATAACTTTTTAAAACTCACTGTGACCTGACAAGGTTGTATGAGGTCTTCAAGCTCTGCCTGGAAGTAGTAACTGCTAGTTCTTAGACCTCAGTTCCTAAATATACAGCCGAAATTCTGAGTTTGTAAGCTGAAGTTCTTCAGAGCCACATCTGGGGATGTCCTGTCTACTGTCAAAACTGTGTCCCTGGAGAGAGGGAGTCACCTTAGGCTGTCCTCAGACTCCTTAGCAACCATTACCAGCCTCAGAATCTAACCATCTTTTTGATGACTAGGTAGACTGGAATGTATAACTTAGCAGACCTCCAGCTCCCACCAGCCATGAAGACAGGAGACACGGCTCTGCTGTCACCAGCCTGCCTGGCGCTCTCACCAGAGAGCTTGTAAATGCACTGACTTCCGGTTTCTTCTGGTTCTGTGACCAAGAAGTTCATGCAAGCTCTTCCACTGTGAAGTAAGCCACTCGAAGCACCAGGAAGCACTCGAAGTTCCTGGGCCATGGTCACAATCCATGTGTTTGGTTCAGAGTAAACTTGTCTCTTTCTCCCATTGGAGCGAGAACTAGGCTCTGTCTGAACAGTTTAAAGGATTTTAAATATTTAAACAAATCCATATCTGCATTAGCTTGTTTTGTTGTTTTCCTCTTCCAGTGGTGAGCTCCTTTCAATCACAACATGTTCGATATAAACCAATAGGGCTTTTTTTTCTCAAGCCAATCAGTTCTCTCTTAATCTCTGGACTCTAGCTAGGTGTCATTTAACTCATGCAGCCCAGAGGACACTTGCAAGTTAGTGTCAATGCTACTGGTTAGGGGTTGCAACCCACTTCAGATCTGCCTGTGATTTCATATCCCTCCCACTTGAGATGCCACCAGCAGCTCCACAAGTACCTGTACTGCTGACTGATCAGATAGTGAAGGGGGCGGGGGCGGTGCCTACAACCGCTCTGCAGTTTCACCAGCTTGGTAGAGTGGCTCACTGAGCTCAGTGAGACTTGTCCTTATACTAGTCTCTGTAACAAAGGCAGCATGAAGAATGTAATGAAGAGTAACCTACAGTGAATTCCAGATGAGCCAAGCTCCTGCCCCATACAACCCAGCTGTGCCACCCCACCCCCCATCAAGTGGACAGTTCAGCAGCCTGGACACGCTGACCCATGTCTGAGGTTTCCATGGAGATGTGCTTAGGTAAGCATAGCCCATTGGACCACGGGCCATTGTGACTGAACCAATCTCCTGCCTCTTTCCCCTTCATGGTGGTTGGAGGATGAAGCTGAAGGTTCCATCCTCACCCCATCATAAGCTGCCCAGGCAGCCCCCAGTAGTCACCTCACTACCAAAACCAGGCAGTTGAAAGGAACTCATTACAACTAACAAAAGACACTTTTTATTCCCTCAGAAATTACAAATTTTCAGGAGGTTCCTCTGTGCTGGGACCATGTACAAGCACCAAATACTTCTTCCTGGGCCACAAGCAATCATTCAGACATTTTTAAGAAGTGAACATTGGGTACCAGGCAGAGGAAATGGAGAACCTGACAGCGGCCAGCACAGGATAGCCCACAGCTAAGCCTGTGTGGGCTTGGGTCCTGGGAGAGACCAGCAGGGTGGTCCTGTCCCAGAGAGCTACACTGCACAGGATAGCCTGAAGTCCACCTGAGCCACCACGGGGGTGGCCATCTCCAGGAAGCTGCAGTCTGGGAGAGCACAGTGGCGAAGAGTCAGAATGTTTGCCACCTAGGCATGGTGGCACACTCTGGTGTTTACCAATCAGAGCCAGAAAGGAAGCAAGGGGAACAATCTAGCACTCTGATCACAACTGTCAAATCACCCCAGGTCACCTCTGTTATTCTTAACATCACTGTGGCCCACTGGGTCCAGGATTTTCATAAGAGTGATGCCAGTTCAGGCAGAGGTAGGGCCTGGAGTCAAGGCCGTGGGCTGGCAAGGTTGCATCAATCCACTTCTGCCCACTTGCTACACCCTGGGACTCAAGGACAGCTCCTGTTCCCCTGACAGCCACTTCAATCTCCAGTCCTGAAGACTTAAGAGACTTGTACATTCCCTCTCCGACCACTAGATGGCATGCATCAAAACCAAGATTTCAAAATAAGATACTAGGATGGCGGTGAACAGTCTCCTCTGTCTCTGTGCGTTCATTGCGATAATAAAATCCGTAAATCTCCAGCTCATTCCTGATTTCAAGCCCAGCTTGTGCCGTCTGCTAGTACAAGGGTGTGCCTACTCAAACGCCTGCCCTTGGGAAGTAGGGGAGGGGATTCATAATGGCTTTGTTGATCCTGCAAGCATGTTAGGAGGCTGGCTCTCTTGCATGCATGATCTTTCTTGCATTCACTGAGCCATGCATGCTGAGTCTTGTCCTAAGGGCCTCCTTGCATCTTCTGCATATGAAAACCATGCACACGAGCCTCCGAGCCAGGGCACTATTTTATAGTATTCAACAAGGGACAGGCATACCTCCAGCTCAGGCTCCTTGGGACCTGATCTTGTTGCAGCTGAAAGGCCAAGGCTATGGGGCTTGCACCACAGGCACAGCTTAGCTGTGAATGGCACACACTGCTGGAGTCTAGACTGTTCTTGCAGGAAAAAAAAAAAAATCTGGCCATTTTGAACAACCAGTATACCCCAAGTCACTCTCTGGGGAGAGAAGGGCATGTGAGGATACGAATGAGGACTTGGGTGGGATGAAACTGCTAAGATGAGCTGAAAACCAACCCACTTGTCTGGGATTATTTTCATTTGCCTCCTGGTGCGAGAGCCCAGTCTGAAAAGAACTGGTTCCTTTTAATAGCAAAGGCTTTTCACCCAGCCTGGATGGAGTTCAGCTCCTGCCTCTCATAGGCAAGTAATGACATACTGCAGAATTCATTGTTTTCTGATGTGAACTCCAAAATACACACATTTCTATTTCATGAAATCAACATTAAAGCCAAAAAATGTATTGGCTCAGGGAGTAACTGTCCATCAGTGCACTGTTCCTGTTGGCACTGCTTCTCAGCTATGGAGGGAACCATTGTGTTGCAGTCATTAAGCAGATCAGGTGAATGTTATGACTCTTACATTCAAAACCCTGCTATTTGTGTTACTGTACACTTCATTGTAGGGCTGGGAAGGAAACGAATTTTGTATAATTTTCAAAGACAATTCTAAGTGCAGGTGGAGATTTTCTAAAGCTATGAGTGCTCTCCCCAAATGATCTTTAATCAGGATCCCTCCTCTCTGACCAGCCACCAGAGTGAGTCTGCTCTGTCTCCCTGGACCATCTGTCCTGGACCTTGCAGTGCCAGCCTTGGGCACTTGCAGCAGCATGACCTACTACCTCAGAAAACAAGCTGCATTGTGGGTGCAAATTCTGCAAGGGAGCTCACAGAATAGACAGAGCAAAATCTCAGCAGCCTCATTTCATCTGTGCCCCAAGCAGACTTTAGAAAGCAATAAAGACTGAATGTCTAAGGACTTAAGAGAAATATGCTGTTATCATCATCAATTTATGAAACTCCCACGAGGAAGCAGACACGGTACAAAACACACAGATCGCACCAGTGGCTAGGAACAAAATGCTGAAACTGGATATTGCTTTTTCTCTCACTTTTTCTCTCATCTCCCTCTTCAATTCTTTTCCTTGTTCTCTTTTGCTTTGGAGTTAAAGGTTCTTTTGGGCCATAAGGGCTGGGCGGAGGCTCTGAAAGCAATAGTTCACGAGAGGCTGAGGTGCAAGCCGGTGCCAGAGACCGGGAAAGGGTTGGGCTGCAGAAGAATGGCAGAGAGAGTAGGGGCCGGGGCACGGGTGCAGATGCTGGAATAAAGGGCGAAGGTTAAAGGGAATTAGAAAGAGAAGGAAACGGTACTCTCTAGGTTGTATTCAACCCATGGTGGACACATTCTTTTGTCTATCACCTTGTCACCAACCTATCCTTTGGGAGCCCTTGGCCAGAAGGACTCTTTGAGGATCGACTCCACTGCTCTGGGTAGGACTGAAAGTCTCATATTCCTTGCACAGATCCCACTTAAAGTGTGTCAGGAGTCAACCACACAAAGATGACGTGTTTTAAGAGGACTCGAGAACAGGCTATGGGAACAAATGCATCTGCCCTGGGCTGAGAGGACAGCTTCACAGACAGGGACATGTCACGCGAGGCTGAAGGAGGTAAAGCAGGCTTGCAGAGTCCAAGGCAAAGAGAGCACACACAGATACAAGAGCTAAAGCTGTTGGTGGTGCTGACCAGCCTGCTGTACAGTGGAAGGTGACTCTCAAGCTGGGCAGGGGTGCATGCTGTGAGTTATGTCTTAATCAGCCTGCCTTTTGATCTCATGTTATCATAACCTGTTGGACCTTGGGGTGAGGGGAGAAGGGCTCACAGACAATTATTCTAGAAGCAGGAAAGCATCTCAGGGAACTCAAGGTCAGAGTCAAAGCAAGGGTTAGAACAACCAGAAGCTAGGGCTTGTCCAATGTTAGCAATTCAGGAGCCGTAGAACTGACTTCTGCTTTGATGCAGGTTTTCATTTTTCCTCCCTCTCTCTTGTCCCTCCCTCCTCCTCTCCCTTACCCTCCCCCATGTGTATGTATGATTTAAAGACTTTCTCCTCTGCTTTTCTCATCCATAATCTCAGAAACATGGCTGCCAAAACAATCTGAACCCAGGAACCCAATTTCAGTGACAAAATTCCTGGTGGGAAGTTTTGGATGAACAGACATTTCACAGCAATGTTTACTCTGAAACATTCTACTCTGGTTATGGGGCTGTACACACGATGTCCACTCTGGAACATTCTATTACAGCCATGGGGCTATACATGTGATGGCCACTCTGGAACATTCTACTACAGTCTGGGGCAGTATAGTACTAGAATCGGTTTGGATCAAAAGCTGACTTGTCAGCCTATATAATGTAGGAAGCAATAGGGAGAATGTTTCTTTTAACATGACTACTTTCCTGCAGCCTGCACATAAATGGCCAATACCCACCAGGCACCAGATAGTAGAGGACGGCGGTCCCATGGAAGACCCCACCACCCTGGGCTCCATTATGGTGGTAGGGAAATATTTCCAGCTCTGAAGAGGCAAAGATATGGTATGATGCCATGTGGTCCCAAGAGAAAAGCAAGAGCTATGCATGGAATTCATCATAACATCAAATAACTTCTGTGTCAGAAAGTGTCTGGCCTGATGTCATCTAAACTTCCTTTGGAGAATATGAAATATTCTCCTCATGACCACAGATCCAAAGACAGCTACTAAGTGTTCCTAAAATGCGTCCCCTTTAATCCAGCTCTGAAGAAAAGACAGCTGTATAGCAACCACTCCAGCGGTTCTAAGAGGAATAAAACCAAGTTTATATAAACAACAGTTTGACACCTAGAATCCATGAAGATGAGCAAGGAGAGAGCAACCCCCTACCAGCATCAGAGCTCAGAGACGTTGAGCTAAGCGCTTCTAAACTCTCGACCCTGGACACAGCAGCAGAAGACCACACACCTTCCCTGCCCCAGCCCCACTGTGCTAGATAGAGGGCTTGGGCTGAGCTGAGAATCCCCTCCCGTCAGCTGGATCTTGCCCCTCGAGCTGCCCATATTTCTCTAGGCTGTGAATAGAATCCACAGTAGCACAGCTACCCATGAAGCTGTCTGCCTCCCATTTGGGGGTCTGATATGAATTGGCCATCTGTGTGAGGCTGCAGGAGAACAGCCGTATTATAACACCCTGCTCCTCCCAACCAGTTACTTTGTATTGGTTGGTGAACTGTCATCTGAGCCAAGCCATAGCTCCTAGAAATGGGACCCTAGAGATCTTGAGCATCCTGGATGAAACCCAGGACTGTGTTTGGCCCTGAGGAAACTTGTGCCCCAAGGCACATTGCCTTCTGGAAAGGGTGGACAACATGAATACATGGCATCTACCAGAACACCGTAAGTACTAAATACAGAAAGGGAAAGAGGGAGACAAAGACCCCTGCAAATTAGACACCAGGCCTAAAACCTGCATGCAATGGCAGCTCAAACATGGGTGTCAGCTACAAGTATTAAAGACAGAGGTGGGAAAGGAAAGGTCCTGGTTGTATGCAAGGGGCTGGAAGGCACAAGGCTAGCACATGTGGCTCCTGCCCCCCTGAGGTGACCCACACAGGTCCGGGAGACACAAGTCTCGGCACCAACACCCAAATTGCAACCTCAAACTCCTGACCCTGTTCTGCTATCTTTCCACACCGAACAGTCTGTTTGAAGGCCAGCTGGTGAACTTGGTGCG